ACCTACTGTCAAGAGACATTTTTCACCCCCACCTTCCTCCGTTCAGTATACTCCAGACCCACCTGGAGTGGGGACTGCAGATAGTCTTCATAGCCCTTGGCAAAGAGTTCATAGGCATTGGGTGGAGGGCGGTTCTGGCTTAAGTATTCCAAGTACTGGAGGTAGGAGCAGAACTCCTTCTCTGAGTGGTGGTTGGTGCCCGTGATGATAAACTGCACCTCCAGCTATGAGAGAGGACAGACCATCAGATACAGCCCTCAAACCAAGATTATGGAATATTATGGTTTATAACCACAGTCATAGCACAAAATAAGACCCAGCCCCAACAATTCCCTAGTGTCTGCCCCAATACCAACAAAAGCAGCACAAGCCTTCAACAAACTTATAAAGCCTTCTTTTTTTTTTTTTTTTTGAGACAGAGTCTCGCTTTGTTGCCCAGGCTAGAGTGAGTGCCATGGCGTCAGCCTAGCTCACAGCAACCTCAAACTCCTGGGCTCAAGCAATCCTCCTGCCTCAGCCTCCCGAGTAGCTGGGACTACAGGCATGCACCACCATGCCCGGCTAATTTTTTCTATATATATTAGTTGGCCAATTAATTTCTTTCTATTTATAGTAGAGATGGTCTAAGTTTTCTGTAACCTAAAAAAAAAAAATATATAGTAGAGATGGGGTCTCGCTCTTGCTCAGGGTGGTTTCGAACTCCTGACCTTGAGCAATCCGCCCACCTGGCCCCCAGAGTGCTAGGATTACAGGCGTGAGCCACCTCCCGGGCTAAAGCCCTCTCATGCCAGAAAAGCTTCATCCTGGCTCAAAGAGTCCCATGAATCCTTGATATAACATCCTAAATGAACCTATGTAAAGTTCTCAGGTCTGGTTCCTTTTAAAAGGTTTCTGGGCTCCAGTGACATTTGCCTTTTTGTTGTCAGCCCCACAAGAAAAAAGCATCATACACACGTGAATAAGGCTGGACCACCTTTAGAACCTTTCACCTTACTTACCTTGAGGAGCCGGAAGATAAGCCTCTGGTGCATCTTAGACAGAACAGGAAATCCCTCTTATTGGTCAGGAAAATGCTGGTAGGAGAATGGCTTGCTTTGATGGGCTCCCCAAGCCAACGATCAATGACATGATTAATGGGAGGTCAGCACCAATTTCAAGAGCTACACAAGGGAAGAGAAAGACCTGTCACACCACTGCCAGGCAAAAAACCTTTCTTGCTCCTTTGTGCAAAATCTGTTTACTTCTCTTCTTTGCAGTCTAAGGCACAGGAAAGTAGCAAAATTGCCAAGTAAACATGAATCCTGAATCTTATTCATAGAGGTCAGAGAAAAGAGACCTATTCCAGGATCCTTAGGACTTACCCCACCGCAATCCTCTTGCTATAGTCACACAATGTCCGGAAGTTGTGCACCTATCCAGAGTCAAATACAGAAAAATAGAAAAATAGTCAAATACACATGGCCTACTAATCACCATAGCTCAAGGAGACCTTACAGGTTCCACCCTCCCCTCCCCCTTGCCCTGGTATAGCAGTAAAGGGAAACATACCACATCCATGTTTTCTCCTCTCCACTGTACTCCTCTGTGTGTGTAGTTGGTGCATTATCAATTATATCATCCCTCAGGTCTTCTGGTGCCCACCAAGGGTACCCGCATCCAGAACTGACATGAACAGGTACCTTTTAGAACTCTACTTTGAACTCATTGGGTCTAAAGAGTTCCTCCCAATTAAAAAGATCTTGATCTGGACCCTCAAGAAATCCCTTTATTTGCTTTTACTGATTTGTGATTATGTATGTGTACATGTACCTTGTATATATCCTTATGTAAATATCTGTCTTTTTTATTTCAATTATAAGTTTCTGGAATATTTATATATTCTGTTTAAACTCTCTTCATACCACTTTTAGATGGGAACATGGAAAATACTGATATTTTAATTCTGCCAAATACACCTTTTACTGCATGGCTAGGCATAAGAAGGTACTTAGGACAGCCTGACTACCACGCTATGCAGCAGGAAAGGAGCCCTTGGCCATACCATAGAGGAGTGGTGGCCAGTGTGGATGTGGTTGGTCAAAACTCTGGCCAAGTTGGTGTTATCTTCCTGATTCAGGGGCAGCAGGAAAGCTGGAAGACCCAGATATGCACCAAAATTCAGCTCCTGTAACATGGCCTGGAATGAGATCAAGAGGAGAAGGTTAAAAACTAACAACCAAATAGCTTTAATTGGATTGTATCAGTTGATTTGTTTTATTTACCAAGTTATTGGGGAGAGGGGGACCACTCTTTCCACCCAGCTTGGTTATAGACCTAATTTTTAGAAAGATCCCCCTGTTCTGAACATAGAAAAAGATGGAAAACTACCCAATTTATGAACCCAGAACATACTTAACATCACAACCTGTCAGAAGTAGCACCCAAAAAAGTTATAGAACCTCACTTATGGATATAAATGTAAAAATCCTAAAATATTTAG